CGACAATGTCAGATTGCTCAAGAACTTTGTTTCGTTCACCCTAACAACCGCGATGAACAATGTCGTAGCAAGAACGTTGCGACGGACTGCGTTGCAGTAGTCTCAAAAATCGTACATGATATACCAGTAGTACCGCACAAGGCGGTGGCGGAAGTTTCAAAAATAGGAAAACTATAGGAGAGATTGGTTGTTGTGAATCAGAGATGGCAGAGCGAAGCCACTGCTGGACTGAAAGGCGATTGATCTCTCTCACTCTTGTCTACCTGTCTATCTATCTATCTATCATATCTATCTATCTATCTATCTATCCATCCATCTGTCCATCTATCCATCTATCCATCTGTCCATCTATCCATCTATCCATCTATCCATCTATCCATCTATCCATATATCCATCTATCCATCTATTTCTCCCTCTATCCATCTATCCATCTATTTCTCCCTCTATCTATCTATCTATCTATCTATCGATCTATCGATCTATCGATCTATCTATCTATCTATCTATCTATCTATCTATCTATCTATCTATCTATCCCTCTATCTATCTATCTATCTATCTATCTATCTATCTATCTATCTATCATATCTATCATATCTATCATATCTATCATATCTATCTATCTATCTATCTATCCTATCTATCATATCTATCCTATCTATCCTATCTATCCTATCTATCCTATCCATCATATCTATCTATCGATCTATCTATCTATCTATCTATCTATCTATCTATCTATCTATCTATCGATCTATCTATCTATCTATCTAATCTATCTATCTGTCTAGCTGTCTACCTGTCTATCTTTTGTGCAGTGTCATTCAGTGTAATGTGGTGTGGTGTAATGCAGTGTAATGTAGTGGTGTGTAGTTGTAGTTGTAGGTGGTAGTGGAGTGTAGTGTAGAGTAGTGTCGTGAAGTGTAGCGGCAGGTAGTGTAGTGTAGTGTAATGTAGTGTAGTGTAGTGGAGTCTAGTGTAGTGTAATGTAGTGTAGTGTAAGGTAGTGTAGTGTAGTGGAGTGTAGTTGTGTAGTTTTAGTTGTAGTGTGTTGGAGTGTAGTGTAGTGTAAGGTAGTGTAGTGTAGTTTAATGTTGTGTAGTGGAGTGTAGTGGAGTGTAGTTGGGTAGGTGTAGTTGTATTTGTAGTGTAGTGGAGTGTAGTGTAGTGTAATGTAGTGAAGTGTAGTGTAGAGAGTGTAGTGCAGTGTAATTTAGTGTAGTGGACTGTAGTGGACTGTAGTGGACTGTAGTTGTGTAGTTGTAGTTGTAACCTGTAGTGTTGTGAAGTGTAGTGTAATGTAATGTAGTGTAATGTAGTGTAGTGCAGCAAAGTGTAGTGTCATGTAGTGTAGTCGAGTTAAGCGAAGCAATATCTGAACCGCCAAAAGTGGTCCGAAACCCTAGTGTTTTTAACATGTTAACTTCCAAATCTGCTTCGCGCCACCACGGCGTGCACTTTTTCGAAACTCGACATCTCAGCCTCCAAAAGTGGTCCGAACATGGTGTGGTTTGTACATTTTGACTTCGAAATGTGCTTCGCGCCACAGCGGCGTGCACTTTTTCGAAACTCGACCTCTGAGCCTCCAAAAGTGGTTCGAACCCCTGGTGTTTTGGACATTTTGACTTCGAAATGTGCTTCGTGCCACAACGGCGTGCACAATTCGAAACTCGACCTCTGAGCCTCCAAAAGTGGTCCGAACCCCTAGTGTTTTTAACATTTTGACTTGGAAATGTGCTTCGCGCCACAACGGCGTGCACTTTTTCGACATCTTCAGTGCCAAAAGTGGTCCGCACTTGGTCTGTTTTCTACATTTTGACTTGGACATGTGCTTCGCGCCACAACGGTGTGCACTTTTTCGACATCGCAACTTCCAAAAGTGGTCAGACCCTGGTGTGTTTTGTACATTTTGACTTGGGGATGTGCTTCGCGCCACAACGGCGTGCACTTTTTCGACATCTGAAGCGCCAAAAGTGGTCCGATCCTCTGTTGTTTTGTGCATTTTGACTTGGAAATGAGCTTCGCGCCACAACGGCGTGCAATTTTTCATGTCTCATCTCCCCATATGTCTCCGCACCCGCCGCTTTAGCGAGCCTACTTTTCGACCCTCCGGAACCACAAATCATTGGAAAAACACAGTGAATCGCGACTTTCCTACCTTTTCGCGCATCTGCATCTTCTTTCTTCTGACTCTTTCTCTTCTGAACTTTCTCTTCTCTCTGCCTCTGCCCTGCTCTGCTTTTCATCTGTCCATATTGTCGGAAGTTTAGCTTCTCAACTTCCTTTGACAATATAGTTAAAGACATGTATCTATATATATATATACACATAATAATTCCATGATATATATATATATACTAAATAATCTCAATATACATATAGATTCGTATATATATATATATGCATACTCTACCCAGCAATTGTGGGATATTGCGCTTTGGCTAGTGGTTGCCGAAGCATAATCGCTGCCCCTTGCTCAGCATATCTAGATCATTTGGTGGATTTTCCGCAAGGGTTCCTCCAAGATATTCTCTTCAACCAAAAGACTTCGCTAATGACATTTCAATATGTTTCATATATATGTATATTCGTATATATATAGTTATCATGTATAATAACTAGAACACCTATAATGACTAGAATTACTATAATAACTAGAACATAATTATCACAACTATATTGAACCCCCCCTTCGATTCCCCCAAGGTCCGCCTCTAAAGCCGCGTTTGCAAGAAGTCACCCCGCGGGCCCACTTTTTGCACCAAGATTCCAGCACCAGGATAGCCCTAAGTCAGTTGCTTTGGGTACATGCTGGGGTCAAAACACCACGTTTGTGAATTCCACACTGTTCTACACATGTACACACCAGAATCAACCCCATCCGCGTTGCAACAATGTGCTGCCCCCAGTTACACGTTGCCTCGCAAACCCCATAACCTGATATTTATACATATATCTAACTATATGTATGTATTTATATATATATATGTCTGTGTGTCTGTGTGTGTGTCGTGTCCCCCCTCCCTGAAACCTACCTTTTTGGTACCCGCCCTCGAGTCCAAGCCCAGAAGACTTTTTTCGATATCCGCCCCAACTCCACCCACGTCCGTCCGCAGCGGATATGCCTCGTTCCCTTGCTCTCTTCTCCTGTTCCAACCCACGCCTACCTTTCGATCTTTCACCCTTCCCTCTCAAGTCGTGAAATCCGCTCAACTCTGTTAAGAATTTGGCCAAGTATTTTTGGGTCACTACGTTGGTTGAAGGTAAGAAAGAACAGGACCCCCATGGCGAGGTGTTCTGCGGCGCGACCGCCTTACACCTGGCCGCAGCTGCCAACCAACTGCGGGCCATGGATGTGCTGCTAGAGGTCATCGTGGTCGTGGTCGTCTAGAAGATTTGATCCGGTATCATAAAATCTGTGATTTGACATAGCCTCAAATACCACCATACAACAAAAAACGCTGGGTTTTTCTATTCTTGAGCAAAAACATGGCCTGTTAAGCTTAGTATAAAATCCAAGAATACCCCCATTTTGTTGGAGATTTAGGATGCTCCCAAATGGTAGCATTTGCTATGTTTTGCTATTAGTTTATCATATTACTTAAAGATTTCCCCAATTTTTCTGTGATTCCCCAGGGCATTCAATCCCCAAAATTGTTCCTGTGGAGATGGCACAAGTTTGCAGGAGCACATCCGAGCAACATATGATCTATTCCCAGCATATACATCATGTATATTTCATGTAGTATGCATCACTCTGACATATGTTTCCACCAAAAGATCCAAAAGCCACGCAGATTTGCCCGAAACATGGGGACCACAGCAATTTACCAGGGTTTTTGGTTTGGGTTTAATGAAGCTGACTTTGAGTCCATGAGATTCTTGGGTAGCCTATTTTCAGACAAACCCAATGCGCATTTGTATCCATGTTATTTCTACAATCAGGCACTTTCCCGAAGTCTTTCTTAGATATGACAAACTACTTGGATTTGTTTGAAGTATCCACATCTATTTGAATTTAAACCACCAACATTCAATTTACCTACACTATCGATTAGATGAATTGCCCATTCGACTCATTATACCCATAATGCAGATACACCATTGAGATCGGGCAATCTAGTCTGTCTGGCAGGAAAATCACACATTTTACATGCAGAAACCATCAAGGTCAATAAAGGTTCATCCGATGATCATCCCCATTTATGGATCTTACATGTGTTTTCCTTTCTTTTTCAGAACATCACCACTGAAACAAACAAGCTCTACATGTTTTTCAATGGATTTTCCCATGTTTTTCAGCGATGAAAACACCCCGGGGCCCAGGGAAGACCTGGGATTTGGCGCTCAGCCAGGTCTTCGCCGTTGACGCCCTGGATCAGCTGGGTCGCACGCCACTGATGCACGCAACCTTCGCCAAAAGCGCCGAGGCAATGGTGTGGTTGGTGCACCGCAAGGCGGCCCTGGAGACGCTTGGTGGAGGGTGCCATGGGTGGGGGTGGTGGTTGACATCTTGAAACCAAAAATGATGATGGAATGTGATTTTAATGGGATTGAATGGATGTACTTGTTTGGTGATTCCATGGGATCGAATGGTGATTGGTATGGGTTACTGGTTGACATGTTCGATTGTTTGATTAGTGCAGACATGGTTGACAGACTATATATATATATAAACATGACTAGACCAACAACAATTGGGATTTGAGCTACAATCATTTGTATATACTGTATGTATATATATATACTGTATGTCCGTATGTTTCCACATATTTCCATGTATGGATGCTGGCATGGGTGGGTGGATGGAGTGAGCAAAACCCAGAAAAACAGTGGTTAAGAGTTAGGGAAAAAAAGAGAGAACTTGCATGAAATCAGGAACTTATGAAGATTATATATGGGGAACCGATCCATTTGATGATCATGCGGTTCTGGGAATGAGGATGAACAAAAAACCGGAGAGGTCATTGGATCAAACCGAATGAACATGCTGGAGATTGACCAGCACGAATGGAGATGTTACCCAGAATTTCAAGTTGGTTTGGTGATGTGGACAGGGGTCAAGCTAACATGTACGCAAACACCCATGTTTTTTTTTGAGTGTGGGCCTGAGCAGTAACAGTAGGGGATGCGGCTCTGAAAAACATGTGGCCACACTCCTTGTCATCCACCAGTACACACCTGGTTGATGATGATGATGATGATTATGATTTTGATTATGCAATATCTCTAGTTGATGTACAAGCCTTGCTAGGGCAGGTTGTGCCAAATCTGTTGGTACTTGGATGTGCATCCAACATACAACCGTGTGATCTGACCCTCATCCAAACAGCTACCCATTTTGAATCATTTTATCTTGGATGCGACCCATAAACATCATAAGCCATCATATGTTAGCTCTTCATTTTTCCTGGTTTATTGCCGCAATCACTGGTTTATTGCCATTAACACTTGCCATCCATTTGGCTTGAAATGGGAAAATCCACTATTAGCTATGGAAAATCACCATTTTTGATGGGAAAATCCACTATTAATGGGAAAATCCACTATTAGCTATGGAAAATCACCATTTTTGATGGGAAAATCCACTATTAATGGCCATTTTCAATAGCCATTAATTTCACCCGGCCCAGGACAGCAGACAGCCAGGGGCTCACGGCTCTCCACGTGGCCGCCGCCGCTGGCAGTGCGTCCCTCTGCGCGCTGCTGCTGTGGCTCGAGGCGCCCTTGGGAAAGCGAGACCTGCAGGGACGCACTGCATTAGGCGCGGGGTAAAGGGGTGGGGTGAATTATGGAAGATGATTGCTGTAATATGCTGTAATATATATATATACACACATGTATATGTCTATACGTATATATATATATATATATATATCTGTGTCACTGTGTGTATGATGGGTATGGTGGAAAACATATGAGTTTAAATATACTTGGAAGATGATGGAAGTCCATTTTTTTGAGATTCTTTTTGTAGAAAACAGCTGAGATTCTGTTGATCTTGGTTTTCTGCTGAAAACGGTGCGGAAATTCTCCATCTTTGAGAGTTGGTGACAGTAACCTCTGGAAAGTTGGTTATGTGCGCAGGTGACCACCCAAAACTACCTACATGTTAGGAGACCATCAAAGCTCGGCATAGGTTCGTCCTTTTCAGCGGGTAGTCTTTGGCGAACTACTGTAATCCTGAGAAAACTCCATTTTCCCATTCAGAGCAACACCAAGAAGGCCTAGAATTTCTGCTTCCACAGATAGTGATAGCAATAGTAGTAGTAATAGTCATAGTGATAATAATAGTGATAGTGATAGTGATGCTGCTGCTGCTGATGATAATGATGACGATGACGATGACGATGACGACGACGATGATGATGATGATGATGAGGATGATGAGGATGATGACGATGATGATGATGATGATGATGATGATGATGATGATGATGTTTGAGTGTTCCTGCCAAAGTGTACAACTATGTTTGTATGTGGTGGTGGTGGTGGTGGTGGTGGTGCGGACAGTTGGCAATGTCTGAGGAAATGCAGTGCAGCTGCAAACAATACTTAACTCTGATAAGACTCACAGCAGGTATATCAGCAAAGTCCAAGAAATTGGCTGAAATTCTGAGTTTCGAGTTTCAGTTTGGTTTCCAAGTCTGTCTACGAAAGTGGGTCCATCCTTCACAGGCTGTGCTGTTGCAGCTGATCACTTGGAAGTGGTGGAGCAGCTTCGACCCGAGATGAATGGGAGATAACAAAGAAGTCATGGGGGATAGAGGATGGCCCCCTAGTTATAAGTTGGTTTATAACACCATCTAAACAAATTTATAAGTATCATGCACTAGTGTTATTAAGTTATTATAGTTACAAACCAACTTAGCTAACTATGGGCCCCCATCCTCTAAACAACTAACCATCATGGGGATGCAATGGAACATATGTAGGATCTGGGTGTGTCCAATTTGTACCTTTTTATGCAGAACATGATGAGTCATGCAGTCATACTTGGACTTAGGGGCACCCCGGAGAAACCCATGTTTTTTTTTGATGTTGGATGTATGGGATCTGGGTGTCGATTTCTCATGGCAAGGCAAATGGTGCTGGGACACCATGCGGAAGGATCCGAGCTGCTTGCGACGTCCGGAGCCGGCTCCGGCTGGGTGCGAAGGTGCTTGGAACACAAGGCGGTCACCGTTTTCCGAAGCGAAACCGGTGGTGTTTTTCAGTGATCCCAGGTGATCCGATTTCGGAGGCATGGCCAGGTATAGCCCCCCCTTGTGGATCAAAGAAGTTGGACACGCAGAAACCGAATTAGCTCAAGAAAATCCACAAAACATCAAAACAATATATATTTGGTTGGTGGTTTGGAACATTTTTTTATTTTCCCATGTATATATATATATATATTGGGAATAATCATCACATTTGACTTTCATATTTTTCAGAGGGGTAGGTATACCACCAACCAGATATATATATATATATACACACACTTTTCTATGGCAAAATGGTGATTGCCAGTGATTGCTATCAGCTGATACTTGTCTATAGCTTCAGTACCCCCCGCTGCCAGGTGGGATGTCATGAGTTGCTGCCTTCCGAGAAGGCTCAGTGATGCTTCGAAAGATGCGTGAAGCAATGCGATACTTCCTCCATAGTATTCACCCAAAGGATAAAAACGTCATAGAAATCACTATTTTATAGAATTGGACTTGACTCTTCTGCTTCTTTCTGTTTTTGATTGCTATATATATATATATATATACACATCTCATATATATCTTATATGACAATATACCTACAAGAATATACAATATTATGACAATACTGTGTATATAATTATGATCGTATCAATATTACGTTACAATTCTAATTAGACATATGTATATATATATATAATATCCAGGAGCCTTTCCGTCAGAACTCCGCCTTCCCCAGATCTTTAGCAGCTGGGGTCCACCTGAGCCTTGGAGTTGTTGCCGGAAACGACCGGAACAAGTGCAGGTGCGGCCGGTGCGGCCGGTGCCGCTGCAGGGGTCGTTTCGGAAAACTGAGTTCATCAGCAAACATGGAGGATTTATACAATGGGACTTAAAACTGAGTTATGATAGCCAAGTTGACCTAGTTCACTTGGTGAACTAGGATTTATGGTAGATACATCCTTAGTTAAAGGGATTTAAAAATCAACTGCTGGGATATCAACCACAAATCATGGGAATATCATGGGGATATACGAGAGTAGTAGTGAACCATCTTGTATTATGGGTGATAATGCGAAAACAAAGAAACATGGGGGTTTATGCAAGCAGCAACAATAGGTGATTTACCCAGTAAATGGAGATTGGGGGGGCGGTATTTATAACCAACAATGTTTGGATTTATGGATACTTTATGGGGATATTATCCAACAAGAATGGGTATGCAATCGGTAACTATTGCGGGAGATGGCTATGCCGGTATGCCTGAAAACCGTTACAGATCGTTACAGTAGTGTCTCCCCAAATGGCAGAATTCTGATTGGATGTCAGGGCAGTTTTTTCTTGGCTAGGATCGCAAGGTAAATCATCGACATTTCTGGAGGATTTTCCAGCCAGGCTAGATTCGGTTTTGTTTTATGGATGGTAAAATGAGTGAAATGTCATGAGGTCAGATAATCCAAAATCAAACTCGCGTTCGGAGAGGGAAAACTCAGCACCAAGGAAAGTTCCAAAGATTTCGCACCATGGATGATTCTCCAAGCTCTCATTAAAACCTTAATTTCTACATTTTCTAAATTAAGACCTTCAATTTTTTTTAAGGAAAAAGGACCTTGAGGTTTTCCATGGCCAGGCGCATCCGCGCGAAGCCTGCGTCCTGTGCGGGCTCTTGGCTCTGATTGCTGCGTGGAGCATGTCCTTTTCGGGTGCCGCGGAGCGTTTCAGGGGTTACAGCGATGCGTGTTTTTCGTATATGGTAATGTGTGGGATAGCCAATCATGAAATATATCATGAACTTCCAATTTTGACTGGCTTATGATGCTTTTTCACAACTTCTCGGAAAAAGGGGATGGTTTATTCATTTTGGGTTTGCTACATTAGATGGTGCCCAGCCCCAAAAAAATGTGCTGGGTATTTGAGATTGGGTATATGTGAAACACTAAAGATGGTAAAGTAGCGTGGTCAAGCAACTAGAATCACTGCCTTATTGCAGAAATCGGAGGATTGAACAGAAGATCAGAAAACATGGGAGAACGATGGAAACGACATCAGAAAGGGCGGGGACGGTCTGCCAGTTTGGTGGCACGACACAAACAGCATATTGGGGCAACAGCTGGGGATTCAATTAACAAATATGCTAAACGCGGGGATGAATTGAATCATTGACATATTGCCATGTGGAGGCAAGAAGTTCTCGACGCCACGAGGTCAGTTTGGCACACCTCAGGGATGTTGGATCCAGAAATTCGCCAGCAGCATCACTTTGGGAGAATTGATACTAACCTAAAACGGCATCACCACCAATGATGGCAAAGATAAGGGGGGCAACGGTCAATTTCATGGCGCAACACATGGCCGTTTGGGACTTCTTCGATATGAAAAAAATGGCCGTTTGGTGGCAAAGGATTCCAGTGGTGTTTTAGTAAGTGCAGCTACACGCCTGCGCGGCTGCAGGGGATGCTGATGACTGCCGACTTCTCTGCTTCATAGCTTTCTCCTGCACTTTGATAGGCGGGAGACAAAAAACGCATGTCTGGCGGCCTGAAGCTGATTGATGTTTCATATGCACAATCTGCAGATTAGATCCCAGCTGTTGGCGTCCCCTCTCCGTTTACCTGAACCACTGCTGATTGGTAGGTTCTATTCAGTGCCCATTGAATCATTGTTGCTGTGTGCATGTCACACTTGACCTCACTGTTGTTGGCAATCATCCTTTTTGCGCTACTCTGACCACTTGCCAACAATTTTTCCGAAGTCGCAAAGATCCCCAATGATATCTATCGGCATTGTTGATATTCATTACTACTTGGACTCGAATTTTCCACTGTTAGTCATGATTCCAAGCAATTATTCGGCTATCTACATGCCTACATGCCTGCCTGCTTGCATATTTTTCTCTCTCTCTTTCTCTCTCTTTCTCTCCACTTCTCTCTCCTTCTCTCTCGTTCTCTCTCGTTCTCTCTACTTCTCTCTC